GGCAAGCATCCTCAGAGGTAGAGAAGGTCTGTGGAATGTCCATGGTGGGACAAATAACACTTGTTTGTTTGAGGCAAGTGTGAATGGTGATTGTTAGAGTGGTCCAGCATCCAGGTTGGTTCATCAAGTGCTCTGTTATGGTTGACTTCTCTGGTTGAATTAGTCTGCAGTGCCTTTCATGTTCCTTGATTTGTGTTTGGGCAATACTACGTTTTGTGGTCCCTATGGAGACTTGTCCACAGCTTAATGGTATGCGGTAGACTCCTGCAGAGGTGAGAGGATCCCTCTTGTCCTTTGCTGAATGTAGGATTTGTTTGATTTTTTTAGTGGGTCTGGAATTTTGGTGGCAGCAGGCGTCTAATTTTGAACGCCAAGAAAGCAGACCCGGGACCCATTGTGGGATAAGAGGCATCCCAGTAATCTTTGTATCCCTTAGCATTTTGCACATTCTAGTAATTCGGGGAATCCCATTATCTGGTGATTGATGCTCTTCAATTTTGGAAAGAACCATTTCCTTCTGCCTGCCTGCCTACCTTTTGTTCTTTTAGCCTTATTTATTTATTTATTTATTTACTTACTTACTTACTTACTTACAGTATTTATATTCTGCCCTTCTCACCCTGCAGGGGACTCAGGGTGGATTACAATGTACATATAATGGCAAACATTCAATGCCATAGACTCACAACATATATAGACAAACACACTGGCTATTTAACATTCCAGCTTTTTCATGAGGGTATTCTGGCCACCAGGGGAGCTGTTGCTTCACCGTCCATTTGTGACACTGATGAAGTACTTCCTCATTCTTTGCATGCTTGCTGGAGATTTTTATGGCGTCGTAAATTAGCCTCCCCACATAAGCGGTACCTAAATTTTCTACTTGACAGATGCAACTGACTTTCGGGCTGCAAAGGTCGACAACAGGCTACACAATTTCGGTCAGTAGTGATTTTAATGCAGCTGACTCCCAGCCAGCTGCGCCACACTCCCAGTGCATATTTGTGTTCAACCCAATGAAGTCAATGTGATGCACCACTATTAGAAGGCGTTCCCCTTTCCTCCTTGTAGCATTCATTCTCTTTTTACTCCCTCCTTTCTTTTTTCTTTCTGGATTAATTCCTTTCTTGTTAAAGAATCCATTATTACCTTTGCTGGCATCTGTGTATGCGTTTGTATTTTTATTTTCAGTATGAGCCATAAAAGGGGGGATCTCTTGGAGGTAAGGAATTGAGACTCGTGCGCCAACTGCGACCGTACCTCATAAAGGCTGATCTGGCCAGGGTGGTCCATGCTTTGGTCACCTCTAGATTGGACTACTGTAATGCGCTCTACGTGGGGCTGCCCTTGAAAACGGCTCGGAAATTTCAACTGGTCCAACGGGCAGCGGCCAGGATGTTAACTGGTGCTCCTTACAGAGAGAGGTCAACCCTCCTGTTTCAAGGAGCTCCATTGGCTGCCGTTCATTTTCCGGTCCCAATTCAAGGTGCAGGTGCTTACCTACAAAGCCCGAAACGGTTTGGGACCTGCCTACCTGCGTGACCGCATCTCCGTTTACGAACCCGCACGTTCCCTCCAATCATCTGGAGAGGCCCTGCTCACGATCCCACCTGCGTCACAGGCGCGTTTGGTGGGGACGAGGGACAGGGCCTTCTCTGTGGTGGCCCCCCGACTCTGGAACTCTCTCCCCAAGGACATCAGACAAGCCCCAACGCTGGCTGTCTTTAGGAAGAGCCTGAAGACCTGGCTGTTCCAGTGTGCCTTTCCAGAATAGGAAACTCCTGGCATCAAGTCCCAAATGCACTTTGTTAGAGATTCAGGATTATTTGCACATTGCACCTACCTCCAAATACCTCTACATTTTACCTGTCAAGCTCAGCACTTTTAATTTTGTCCATTACATTTGGCCCGGCCTTGGTTTTAATTGTGTCATGATGTTATTGTTTATTGTCTTACTGTCTTGCTTGATGGTTTATTATTTGCTTATGAGTTTATTGTGTGTTGTATGCTGTGTTGTCAGCGGCCTTGGCCATTGTAAGCCGCATCGAGTCCTTCGGGAGATTTTGCGGGATATAAATAAAGTTAATACAATAAATAAATAAATAAATAAATAAATAAAAAATAAGGAAGATTTCTGGCTTTCATTATTGATCTCTTGCTTCTTTCTTGACCAGGGAAATGAGGATTCTGTGGAGCCACCTCTTGGGAGCCGTAAGGAAGCCAATAATATAATAAGAAGAAATCCTTTCAAGATGGTGATCTTGCTGAATTCTTGACCTCACTTACAGATAAGAAGAAAAAAAAAGAGAGTCAAGTATCTGTATTGTCATTTAGTACACAAATCATTGTTGACATGAAGGAGAAAGCATCTCAATGCCTGGAGTGTGGAGAGAATTTTACTCAGAGGGCGAATCCATGTTCACATCAAAAGACTGACATTGGGGCGAAACCCTATACATGCCTGGAGTGTGGAAAAAGCTTTACTCAGAGTGCAAATCTACATAGACATCAAAGGACACACACTGGGGAGAAACCCTATACCTGCTTAGAATGTGGACAGAGCTTCCCTTGTAGTTCAAATTTACATTCACATCAAAGGATTCATACTGGGGAGAAACCCTTCATGTGCCTTGAATGTGGACAGAGCTTCAACCGGAGTGCAAATCTACGTAGACATCAAAGGACTCACACTGGTGAAAAACCCTATACATGTCTGGAATGTGGAGAGAGCTTCACTGAGAGTGGAAATCTACGTTCGCACCAAAGGACTCACACCGGGGAGAAACCTTACACATGCCAGGAATGTGGACAGAGCTTCACTAATCATTCGAGTCTTCGTTCGCATCAACGGACCCACACTGGGGAGAAACCCTATACATGCCTGGAGTGTGGAAAGACCTTCGCTCAGAGTTCACATCTACGTTCACATCGAAGGACCCACACTGGAGAGAAACCCTATACATGCCTGGAGTGTGGAAAGACATTCGCTCAGAGTTCAGGTCTAAATATACATCAAAGGACTCACACTGGGGAGAAACCCTATACATGCCTGGAGTGTGGAAAGAACTTTACTAAGAGTGCAGATCTACATAGACACGAAAGGACTCACACTGGGGAGAAACCCTATACATGCCTAGAATGCGGACAGAGCTTCCATTGTACTTCAAGTCTACATTCACATCAAAGGACTCACACTGGGGAGAAACCTTATATGTGCTTTAAATGTGGACAGACCTTCACTCGGAGTTCAAGTCTACATAGACATCAAAAGGCTCACTCGGGTGAGAGACCCTATTCATGCCTGGAGTGTGGACAGAGCTTCACTGAGAGAGGAAATCTACATTCGCATGAAAGGACACACACTGGGGAGAAACCCTATACATGCCTGGAGTGTGGACAGAGCTACACTACGAGTGCAAATCTGCGTTCGCATCAATGGACCCACACTGGGGAGAGACCTTATACATGTCTGGAATGTGGAAAGAGCTTTACTAAGGGTGGAAATCTACATAAACATGAAAGGACTCACGCTGGGGAGGAACCCTATACCTGCCTACAATGTGGACAGAGCTTCCCTTGTAGTTCAAATTTACAGGCACATCAAAGGATTCACACGAGGGAGAAACCCTACATGTGCCTTGAATGTGGGCAGAGCTTCACTTGGAGTGCAAATCTACGTAGACATCAAAGGACTCACACTGGGGAGAACCTCTAGAAATGCTTGGAGTATGGACAGAGCTTGACTCGTAGTTCAGGTCTACATTCACATCACAGGATTTACACTGGGGAGAAACTTTATAAATGCCTGGAGTGTGGATCGACTCATAGTAGAAGGCAATGAGAATATCAAAGAAACCTTATACAAGTCAGGAGTGTGGACAAAGATTTTGTCAGTTATCGGATTTATAAATTAGAAGAGCACTGCCAAAAGCATAAGTGTACTTACATAGGGTTATCTGGGGGGGGGGGGGGGAAAGGGGGGGGGGGGGAATAGAATAATAAGGGATACAATCAACTAAGTTCGAAGTTCTTACAATTAGACCCAGGTCTGATTAGAATCATAGAATCATAGAGTTGGAAGAGACCTCGTGGGCCATCCAGTCTAACCCCATTCTGCTAAGAAGCAGGACAATCACGTTCAAAGCACCCCTGACAGATGGCCATCCAGCCTCTGTTTAAAAGCTTCCAAAGAAGGAGCCTCCACCACACCAAATTGTTTATTTGTTAGTGCACTTTGTATCTATAGGAGTGTTTTCTTGATGTGATTTTGTTTCTGATTTATTTTGTGGTGTTGTCCACTCAATGAGCTGTACAATTTTATTATCTATCTATCTATCTATCTATCTATCTATCTATCTATCTATCTATCTATCTATCTATCTCGCCTATCTTATCTATCCATCCATCCATCTATCCATCCATCCATCTATCCATCCTATCTCTATCTATCTATCATCTATTTATCTATCTATCTATCTATCTATCTATCTGTCTATCTATCGTCTGTCTTATCTATCATCTGTCTATCCACCCATCCTATATCTATCTATCTATC